TCGTCCCACCATACAGTTGAGGGTTTTTTCCTAATACAGTTTGAGGATCGTTTTTTGGCACCTGCGGTTGTCAGTGCGAGATGGATATTATTGATTAAGTTATCGTAAGTAGATTTCAAGTTATCATTAAAAATATGGAAATGACGTACAAATTTGGAGCATTCTTGCTGGAATATATGCCAATCAATGTTGGCAGTGACAAAGGAGGGGCGACCGAAAGACGAGTTAGAGTTATAGTGTGAAATGGTTATTAAAATAGGAAAATGGTACCGTGATTCCCGTCAAGAACCTCCCAAGTGCATTTGTGCGCAATAGATGGAGAGGTCAGTGTGACATCAAGGGCTGAGGTGGACGAGAAATCCACCGACGACCAGGTATAACCACCGTCGTTAAGACATGGGAGATTAAACTGTGATATGGCGTTTTCCAGTTTGCTTCCCTCCTGATCCGAACCCAAAACATCTGAGGACCAAAGAGCACTCTTGCCATTAACATCACCACAAATAATTATTAGGTCTAAGTTAACACAACATTGAAGTAGCGAAGTCCAAGCCAGCGGCTCAGTATATGCATAATTACCGCCTCGGGGAGGGCTGTAGAGCGAACAGATGTATATGTGTTTATCTGGGTTAAGCCAGACTTTTCCTAATATGTATTCAATGTTATTACGGTTACAGATAAGGTTCATATTATTATCTGCAATTTGTGTGAATCTGTATTTCTTTTGGATTAGAATAGCGACGCCACCGCCATGACGGTTGCGATCTTGGGAATAGATATCATAATTATTAACGTTGGGGCGGAATTGTTCGTCTAATCTAGTTTCGCATAGAGTGGCGATATCTATATTGTAATTATCAAGTAGAAAAGCCAAATCCGGGATTTTCCTCTGCAATGAGCGACAGTTCCACTGCAAAATATTGATTGTCATTATATGAATTTACTTTGTGCAATGTGCGTAAGATAGTCCATGGCAGAGTCCATCAAGAAAGAATGGCATTATTAAGAAGAATTCCCATTTGGGATAATATATCAGTTTGTATGAGATTGACAGAGGAGAATCTGTTTTGGCATTCGAGTATCCAATTATTTATGATTTCAGAGTGTGAGGAGAGAGTGTTTTGATTATTAGTAGTTGAAGCGAGGGGAGGGAGAGTGGATGTGGTAGCATGTTTGTTGATCGGTAAAGATTTATGGTATTCGGTGATAATAGAGGGATTAGGAAGTGATGTGGAGCGGATTTGGGAGGGGGTAGTGTAGGTGAGTTTCTTTTGGGGGGGGTAATAAACTTTAGGTTTAGGATTGGCCTCTTGTCTTTTATAGGTTGTTAATGGATTAATGGAAGATTTATTAGAGATGTGTTGAGATTTAACGATTTTGGGGAATTGAGTTTTGTTAAAGGTTGAGCTAAGGTTATGATTATGATTGCTGTAGTTGTTCCTAGATGCCGCGTCCGCATAGGATCCTGGAGGAGCACCAGGGAGGAATTCACCCAAGATAGGAAGAGGGACTCCAAGAGGAGGGAGTGAATGAGATAGAATGTTATTTGGTTGTAAATGAGGATTTGCATTTTCAAGAATTGAAATGGCTTCCAAATGAAAGATGTTATGGTAAGCCATGAGTTTTTTTATTTTTCTCTGTTTTTGGAAGATGGGACAGGAGTTGGAGGATGCCTCGTGTTCCGTAACAGAGTCCGGCAATTTTTGTCTTTGGCAATTAATGCAAGAAGGCTTTTCGGCCGTGCAGGGTTCGTTATCGTTACTATTACAGCCATGAGAAGAGGTATTCTTACCGCAACGTTGGCAAATAGCATTCTTTTCCGGAATCCGGCAAATCTTTGCAACATGGCCGAATCTCTGGCACCTTTGACACCTTCTGATTTTTTCGATAAATGGGATGAGATGAAGTCTTTTTCCCATGTATATAACGCTAGGGGATACGGTTGTTGTCCTGAAACGGATAATGTATGAATCAGAGTCAATGAATTTAGTAGATAAGGTGTTATCCTTATCTTGGGTTCGAACAGGTTTTTTCAGTCTGGAAGCCTCGAATGGAGGTTGCCACAGAATGTCCCAATCCGGCGGAGGGCGGATGTTTTTTATTATGTCCTCAGGGGAATCATCATCGTCAATACCCCTGACAACAAACTGTCTAACAACTCTGTAACTAGGTATGTATGCTATCCATGTTTCCCTTGGAAAGATGATATTGGATTTTTCATTAAAAATATCACAGAATTTATTTGCAGAATTGCCATCTGGGAAAGTTACCGTAAATTTATTCCTACCTATAGTTTTTAGGTCATAGGCTGAAGAAAAGTTATCAATATGTTTAAAGATACGCTTACCAAATGCAATAATGCCGTATGAGCCAGTGGAAGATCTTTGATTAGAATTAGAAAGGATAGAATTAGAGCTGCCAATACCTGTGTTGGCGTTGTCGTTACTTTCTTTGTTTTCCGAAACCCGTTTCTGGGCGGCGGAAAAAGGTTTATAGATGATTTTCTCCATATGTATAATGAATGGAGGCTTGGTGGAGAGGCCGTATTTGTTTGAGATTCTAGGATCTTGCAAATCAAATGGATCCAGAGTGGATCTTTTTGGCGGGAGAGGGCTTCTCAAAGAAGAATCAGAATTCCTTTTACGATTACGATAAATTATATTGCGCACATTTTCGGCAACATTATTGTTGTTATTCGTCTCGATAAGAGGCGAAGATGTGTTCCTTGTTGTGTTATCGTAGACCTTTTCCGGAGTGACCTCCATAATGATGATAGAATAACACGTGTGGTGTGTGTAAAGGCGTATGATATAATACGCAGAATATGTCCTTGCACGGAAGGACAATATGGCTGTGTCCTAACTCACGTGCCGACGCAAGATTAGCGGAGGAGGCCAAAAATGATCTTGAAGAAAGCTATGCCCAAGCTGGCAAGCAAGTCGAGTCACACAAAAGCACAATATTCGCTAGGACCGGATTACCCGAGTCCTCGGATCGACAAAATGATAAGCGCGCTGATTACAATCGATCACGATGTTCACTCACCAAGAGAACAAACGGAAGTCCTCGTTACGATTCCCGCTGCTCCTCCAGCCAAAAAACCAAGAGCTCCCAATAAAGGTAGTAGGGGCAAAAAACCACCGCGTTTTGCTACGGGAAGCGTTCGTTTCCTTGTAGAGGTCGTTACTTTCCTCTTGCTTTTCTTCCTCTTGGTTTTTGCAGCCATACCCATTCCAAGTTTTGTTTTCGCTTTCATAGCCACCCATACGTCCGTCGCGGCGGCTTTCTCGTCGAAAGTCGAGTCTTTCGCCGCAACGCGCTCGCGCGCTTTATCGGCGAGCGCTCGATCGGCGACGCGTCGATTAGCGAGATCGTCGTTTCGCGAGTACGCGACGTCGTGCGACGTCGATACCTTACTCATCTACTGTGAGGAAATTCACTAGAGTATCTACAATTTCATTTGTCAAAATCTAGTAAATCTGTTCACTTTTGTAATTTTCACCTTGTTTCAAGAACCGTAATAGGCCCCCTGGTGTATAGTCGGTGAAAGCAGGTTGCTTTATAAAAATAGAGAGTTATCTCTTTCTCACTAATCGAGGTATAGTAATGCCCGGTCTACAATGAGTCGTTAATCGTTAGTCGCAAGCAAATTGACCAACCTCAGTCGATTATTCCTAGAATATTCTTGGAATAATAGACTGTGGTTGGTCAATTTGCTTGCGACTAACGACTAACGACTTATTGTAGACCGGGCTTAAGAGAAAAAGCGTCGTTGAAACGTAACAATATAATAAAACAATTTGGTACTAAAACATCGATTTTAATACAAAACAAAATTGGAAAATCAAAAAATTAATTATCATAAATTTTAAATATTTAAATGAAGTCTTTCTTATTAAGCGGGAAAAACATATACATATATTTGAATGTTAAATATTTCAAAATTAATTTGAAAAGCATTCGAATATATTTTAAAATTTGTTTTATTAATAATTAAATATAAGCTATTTTAATATAAAATATATTACATTTTTTAATAATTTATTCCATTTTTTCTTTATAGTTTATGTCACATATATTAGGCCCGTATTAGACTATGCATTGAGATTGAAATTTGACCAATCAGGACAAGAAAATTTTAATTCCTTTTATCCTGATTGGTCAAACCTCAATCTTCAATACGTAGTCTGATACGGGCTTTATAGATTTTCAGTACTGGCTGTGAATTTCAGAACACAGCTTTTAAATTTACGCTATAGATGGCGCAGAAATTCGATAATTCCTAGAGACCCTCTAATAAGAGACTGGCCATAAGAGTGTTTCGTCCATGTTTCGTCAAAATGCTGTGAGTGAGAGAGAAATATAGGCTATTTCGCTCTTCCACTCACACAAATGTCTGGCACGTGTTTGTTTATATATGTGTCTTTCAATTCATGTCGGTGTAAAATGACACGTGTTATGTGTTAGAATTTCATAAAAATGGGTGGATGCTTAGCAGAATTTTGCAACAATTCATCATTGAAAGGTTATACATATAATGAAAATATTTCCCAGAAATCCTCAACGATGACCTCATGGGTCAAAAATGTTGGCCGTCAAAATTGGACATCTACAAAGAATTCGTATCTTTGTGAGATCAAGTAACATGTTTCTAATAAAATTAATCAAAAATGTATTATTAATTTAATTAAAAGTGATGTTATGAATCGAGTCTTTTATCTTTTATTTCTATTAAAACTTATTAGTGTCTTATTACCTCTTTTATATCACCTCTTTTGTATATCATTTCTTTTCATAAATATCGTTAAAAATTAATATTTTATAATTTTCCGTTCCGCTTTTCCGCTTAAAATATGCTCCATGTAATATAAGGCAATCAAAACAGACAGAATGAAACGCGGAAATCTAGTTACTATTCTCTTTCGCGTTTCCGCATTACCGCGCTTCCGCGCTTCATGTAATGGCACCTTAATAATTCCAACTAAAGGCTGGTTTATGCAGGCCGTAACTGTTAATTTATGCCGGAACCGTTAAAGTTTAACACTAGGATTACAATGCTTTTGTTCATAATGGCTTCCCGGATGCTGTTGATTTATGCCGGAACTGTAAGTGCCGGTCTACAATAGGTGATTTAAGCCCTAAGTCTTAAGAAATTGACTAATCACAGTCGAGTATTCTTCTCATACTTGATTGTGATTCGTCAATTTCTTAAGGTATAGGGCTTAAATCACGTATTGTAGACTGGCACTAAAGTTAACTCAACTTTGACTTTAAGGGAATACGGCAAGCGATCTTGAAAGAAAATGTTGTGAAGATTGGTTACAACCACAGACTTATATATAGAAATCTATAGTCTATGGTTGTAACCAAGCCAATAGTTTTGTACGCTTTTTCTACGTTTTACAGTATTTTCGATGCAGGTAGAAATATTATAAATAATGAATAGAGATATACAGTTAATAACTTTAGTGGAAAGATTTCCACATTTATATGATAAGACAAATAAAAAATATAAAGATCGGATGGCAATAGAGAATTCCTGGTCATTTATAAGCGGAGAAATACAAATACCAAGTAAGTATATAAATATTATTGTATAATACAGCAATATAATATAATAGAAAATATATTTGTGACTTTACAAATAAAGTATATTAATTAACTAAATATATATATGATTCTCAAAGTAAAAAATTAGCTTAGGTTAGGTTTAATAATGACATATACGTAAACAAATACATTTCTTTTCTTTCAGTCGCTGATTGTATTGCTCGATGGTCGTCGTTACGTAACAGATTTTCCAAAGAAAGAGCTAAAAAAATACCCTCAGGATCAGCTACGCAAACGGAATGGCCATTAATGAAACATTTAGCATTCTTACACTCTGTAGTGAAAAAACGACGAACATTTGGGAATATTGCAATAGAAGACGAATCAAACTCCTCTTTGGAATTACAGAATTTTGATCCTTATGAAGAAAATAGACTGTCCAATGAAAATAATGACTCTATGCAATACATCGATTATGAGTATTTAGACAATGAGACAGGTATATCAAAATTTCTTATTACTTCTATAATTTCTAATGTTAAATATTAATGATTATAAATATTAATGATTATAAAAATATAAACGTGATATTATAAATATTGTTGAACGAACAATGCTTTTTTCATTGATACTTATGTTAATATTTTGAACATTTGCAGGTACTTGCACCGATGATGTACCTAGCACGGAGGAATCTTTACAATCTTTGTCAGATATTTTAAGTGAAAATACATTAGCGTTTGTTAGACAACAAACAAAATCCAAAGCACTCAACACATCTACACTACAAAAGCCAATAACATCGAACACATCTACACAAAGACTCATATCATTAAACCCATCTACACAAAGACCGATATCGTCAAATTCATCTACACCAGAACGACCCATAACACCGAACACATCTACACCAGAACGACCCATAACACCGAACACATCTATACTAAAGAGATCAAGTCAAAAGAGAAAACAACCCTCAGACATTGAAGAACATTTAGGTAACGTTGTAGATATTTTTAAAAGTTTTGTTACTCGCAAGAATACTACAAGCACAGAAGACGAGTCCTTAAAATACTTTTGTGACTCCTTGTACGGAGATTTGACAAATCTCGATAAAAAA